TCGATATACTTTCTTCGTATTTGTGCTTCTATTGAATCTTGTATCATAGCTTCTTCCATACATATGTGATGAAATAAAAGTTTTATCTATGTCAAAGATAATATGTAGAAATATTTTTCCAAAAAAAATTTATTTAATATAAATTTAATTTCTTTTACTCACCATAGGAAAAAATAGTATTAAACTGATATATCGAAACAAAACTATTATAAGTGGACATGTTGTAGACAATATTAAAACACAGTTTTGTAAAGTAATTTCAGAAGTTAGAAGTGATACAATCTATAAAACATATTCTATTAATAATATTAATAGAATAAACTTGAATAGTAGATTTTTTTTAATAATGGTATGACTGTGTTATAATTTCTAGTCTAATTTCTAGTCTAAAGTTTAAAACAAAAATAAAAAGTCACAAATAAAACCGAAAAAAAATGATATAGAAAATATAAAGATATTGATTTTAAAATGTTTTATACATTTCTAACATGTAGATTCGGTCAATATCATGTATAAGTTGAAAAAAATAAAAAATAAAATAAAATAAAATAAACATTTTCCTTCGAAGTTTTCATTTTTGAAAATTTCACTTAAAAAATATTTTTAAATTTTAATTTTCTACAATTAAATTTTTCAAACTAAAATTGCATAACTTTAGATTATATATACAAATAAATTATGGAAAAAAGATTATTTTATACGTAAAAATATGAAAAATATAATAATAAATATATATTACACGATAAAATTACATAAAAAAAAATCATAATTTTCGTTACCTGAAATACTACATTGGCAAAAAGAAACGTTAAGAACCATAATCGCTGAATCCACACATAAATCGAGTTATTGTATGGCCATAGTCCTACGATTTTCATTATAGTACGATATGTGTGATAATGCTTATCGAACACGTTCATTTTCTTAGTCAGATATCGACTGTCGTATAGAACTCGAAAAATTATTCTACTACACCTCGGCTTGATATATTATTTATACACAATTATTTTTCTCTCTTATGTTTTCACGATATCGTTTCTCCACTAGTAACACTATAATGTGCAATAATTGGACTAAATTGCAATCGATCGATTTTACATATCCTCTGCAAAGAGTTTTCTCACGATAGACATTGATTTTGAGAAAATTATAATATTGATCATTGTTCTCACTTTTTTTTTTATTTTCCTTCATTGTTTTATTAATTTTTTTTCTCTGTTTTCCACGTGTTGAGAAAAAGAAGATTCGTTACGATGAATAGTATCTTTTGGTTATCTGACAAGATAACTTCTCGATAACTTCAAGATAACTTTGTTACTCGTAAAAATATTTCGATTTTCGTTTAAGAAGAGTGATAAAAAGAAATTGAAGGAGATTAATAAAAAAGATTAATAAATTTGGCCTGAAATAGTGGTAATGAGAAAAAGATGCGTGATAGATTTGATGTGATATATTAATATATTAATTATTATTTATATATAAATATGTTTAAAAATACAATTATTAACATTCGAATAATTTTATGATTTTTAATTTGATTTTGCATAAAATTTTTTCAAGAATATACATGATTAAAGACATAATATTGTATAAAATTATATTGAAATTGAAGATGTCAAAAAATAAATATCATCAAATAAATTGAGAATATGAATTATAAATAATGTTATCAGTATAATTTTATTATTATAAAGATAAATGTATAACGAAAAAACGAATACATTTAAAAATAATAATAATAATAATTCGAAGAAATGTATTTATAAAACTTTTAAAACAAATAGACATGAAACGGAAAAATAATGTAAATCAATTGTATTAAGTTAGAAAAAATTCGAGTATTCATCATTTTTTAATTAATTTTACTTAATTAATATTTTTTAATTAATTTTTAATTATTCAGAGATACAAAAAATACAGAGAAAATTATTTTTCTAATATTATAAACTTCAAATATAATTGATAATAAATAAAATCAAATACATATATATATATATATATAATATAGAAATTATTAATAAAAGCAAGATAAATTTTAAAACAATTTATTTTTAATTGTTAAATAATTGAAAAAATTTTTTCTGAATTTTTTAAATTCGTAAAAAATTTTTCCTATAAAATTTTTGTATTCCTACAAAGAAAATTTTTTATTTTTGGATTCAAAGAATTTAAAATTATTTGTGAAACAATAACAGAATTTTAGCATTGTAGCTAAAAAATACTTATATAAAAAATATAACTAAAATATAAATGTATCTTTATTTTCATTCAAAAATCAATATTATTTCAATCTAACATTTTGAATAATGAGTAACATATTATTCTATGCGAATTACTCATTTTATGTAACGATCATCGATCTTAAAAAGGATGATAATGGTAGAAATACGAATCATTTAACTGAATATATTGGCGTATTTATGATACTTATATCATTTAATATCTTCAAAGTTCTTTTTTCTTTTTAAATCTTGATTACTGTTTTCGCTAGCATTTCATTCTTATCGTACTATTGTTTTCAGATATCAAAATGAAATTATAAATATTCCACAAGTATCTTGATTTACGTACACACTTATGAGAGCTTAATGTTTAAATTGAATTGTTAAATGAATAACTAATTACTTTAGAATTGTAGTGTAATGTAACATACGATATATACATTACATAATTCCTTATTTAACAAAAATTTCCTTATTTAATAAAAATATTATATAAAAATAAGTTATATTTTCTCAATGCAGAATCCTCTAATGGAAAATAATTTCTACTAGAGAAATAATAACAAAAGAATTTTCTTAAAATATAATTAAATTAACATAAGAATTTATTTATTTTTTTATTTAAATATAGAATATATATGTATCTACTTACAGGAAAGATCTTCAAACCCGCAAATTTGAAAAATTTTCAAACTTTGAGAATATGTATGTTGAGTTTATATATGTAAAAGTGCGATATAATATCTTGTATATTTATGTGTGAATTGAGTGTCATTGGACGCTGTCATGTCTATTCAATGATCATGATAATGTGATCTATGATAAAAATATTTTCATAACGCGATTAATTTCTTCGAAATAAAAAGAAATTGTTAATATACTTGTTAACGATATTCCTTGTGATATCATAATGATAAATTGATTCTCAATTTATTTGATTTTTTTTCTATAAAAATGATATTAAATTGTTTATGAAATTTATTCATATTAAAAATATATTCATATTAAATTTATTATATGAATTATATTAGAATTTTCTTCTTGTAAATATCGATATAATTATAATAGTTTAGATGGAATATCATTTAAATACAAACAATATATTAAAAATAATTCTTAAATTGTTAGATATAGTACAGTAATTACAGTAATTAAATTGTTAGATAGTAACGTACATCAAATTTTCTGATGATATATATATAAATACAATATGTAGATATAATTAACATTATTACTTTTGAATAGAATATAACATTATGAAGCAGGACCATGTCATTTTGCATTGCTATAAAACATCGTCTTCTTGTTATTTAAATAATTATAATTTCTACTAAAAATAGACTTCTTACCGTAAGTAACATTTTGTAGGTAGGCACGAATATTCCACAAATTGACAATAACACTGGTTTTTTTCTTCCTTGTATTATAAAAAGTAATAATTTTTGTATGGGTAACGGTAAATTATACCAATTCCCATTGTATCTAGAAGAAAATGAGATTAATGTTTAAAATTAATATTAAAATATATAAATGAAATAATATAAAAATGTATTTCTAGTACAATTTTTTTACCATGGAAAAATTTTGGAAAAATAAATGATTTTTTGTTTAAAACTTTATCTTATTCCGAGATACGAATAATTAAATAATGTGATGACCAATGGAATATATCTTTAAACTTTCGAATTCTAAGCGAATAATTAATAGAGTAATTTTGCGAAAAATTGACTGAAATCTCGAAATTTAAAATAGAATAGATCAATAACGATTGATCACACAATAAATTGATGATTTTATTAATTTTCCAACAGTTTTAAGATTTCGAAAGAATTAAACCTATCATATTATATAAAATGTTAAATTTCTGCTATTTGTGCCGATTTTCGGATTTCTGAAAGACGGAAGGATGCTGCATATACCTAAACTAGTAATATTTATTGTGATAATTTGAAAGTAATTTGAAAGTAATTTGGCAATGAATTTAAATTTGTACTTATTGTTAACTTTGTATATGTTATCGATATGTATAAGTTGAATACAAGATTAACATATTTTTATATGACGCATGATAAGCAAAAACACAAAGGAGGATATCAATTTGGAAAATAAAGTATTATTTTATGTACTTACGGAATATCAAAAAACTTGAACGTTTCGTCGAGAACACGTTGGGACACGTAATAAATGAAAAAAATGAAACATGAAAACATTATAATTATATAAAACTTTATAATATAAATGTAATTAAAGTGAAAGTCTCGATTGAAAACCTAAAAGCAATGTATTACAAGTATTATATTCGGTTACTTAGATTTTAATGATATTAGTTTTATTTACATTAAAGGTTAAAGCTGCGAAAGCAAATATGGATAATGCAAAGCTTACTAGATAATTGTATAATAATTTATCATTTACGTATTTAATCCACCTACGAAGCATATTCAATTAATAGAAATTCGTTGAAGTAGCATATATATAATATCATACGTTAAAAGTCAATCATGTCAAGATCTTATATAAGAAAATAATAAAAATTGATATCTTTTATTAAATTAAATGTTAATGTTAAATGATAATTGCTAATACATTAGTAAATATTATAGTTTTGTATTCCAAGACATATTATTTTTCATACAAAAAAATGTATAATAAATATTATACGTGTATATCATATATTGCAAAATGAAGAAGATATTAACTTTATTATGAAATTATATGTTTTCATTGATTCTCTTATTTTTTTATGAATAACATTATGTTCTCCAGAGATGGCTTCTTTCAATTGGTACCTAAAAAGTAACAAAATTCAATCATATTTAAATTTCTTTTATGATAAATTTGATAAATAAATTTCACTTACCTAGCAATTTTATATAATCCACATATATGCACAACAGTATTTATAAAAAGAATATCACGGTTTAAAAGAACTGATAAAACAAAAACATAGTAGTAATTTAAAAGAATAATAGCGAAATAATTATTTTTATACAATTCGAAGAAATGACATGTAGTGAATAGAATAAAAGATGATTGAGATTTGTTAAGAGATATCGCGATATAAGTAACGTGAACTTCAAAACATATCACCAGGAAAATAGAAAAAAAAATTATAAAAGCGGCAACTGAAATATTTAAAAATTCAAATATTACATTCTTAATGATTTAAAATAAATTCTTACCAATCTTCTTATCAAGATAAATAAGTGTAATATGTTTTCCAATCAGAGCATTTGATTTAAGTATTCTAAACTCTTCTTTGTTCCATAATTCATTCCAATTAAATTCTATTTTTTTTAACCAATCCTTGAACTTTACGATAAGAATTATTAAAAAAGAAAAAAACGAAAAGAAAAAAAAAAAAGAACGAAAATAAAGAAAAAAAGAAAAAGAAATATTTAGAGAATAACTCTAAGATATTCAAGACTTACGTCTACACATTGAAAAAGCAAAAGAGTATATGATAGGAAACTTATAATTGTCACAATTAGTTGTTGCGAATCATATATTAATATTTCATGGTGAGTACAAATATTCGTATAAGTGGGAGCGAACTGTAATTAAAAAAAATTAATAATATTAATAAGCACAAAAATGATAATATGAAATACAATATATATTTTAATAAGAAATCGAAAAATCACTTCATACTATTAAATATATAGCGATCGAAAATATTAAATATATGACAGCAATATGAAATATCTTTAATCGAGTGTATTTATATGAAGATAAACCGAATATACTATAGCTAACTCTTATAATTTTATAATACTTGTCACCATTGAAATCCATTCTCTTCGATGGTTGTAATACTTATGACTGTATATTCATGATTTTTCAACCGTCTCACGAATTGCATTTTTCTGGGAAAAAATAAATATAAAGAGAAATAAAACATTAACGATTAATATGCAATCGATATGCGATTATAATGTAAGAATACGCATCGATTGATACGCATGAAATATTATGATTTTCTAAAGGAAAATATTTATTTGACTATTTGAATAGTAATTTTCCTTCTGCAATTTTCTTGCAGATCTATATAGAATTTTAAAGAATATATTCTCATGCATGTGTAGAGTTGTCAATCAAACTCAGTTATTTTTTTTTTTTTTCCTTCAATGTTATAATAACGCACGTGCAATTGAAGAAATACGTGATCAGTATTTTAAAACTGCTCGAAAAGAAAAGATTTATATTTTTGCTTATTAGAAATTGTTATTCTGTTATACTTTCCATTTTTCCTCGAATATGATAAAACATTTGTAAACATTTTCTTCGAATATCAGTATCCAAACTTAAAATTAGGCTGTGGATGTTTATGTGAAATCATATTTTTATAAATGTAATTAAAAAAAAATAGATCTTATATAGAAATTTTTTTCACTTATTGAAATATATATTATAAATGAATATTATATTTCCAATATCTTGTGTCTTTTTGCACTTTGTGTGAATTTGATAACTTTTTGTATAATTAAATTTTGCGTATAAATATCTGGATTTATTTAAAAACAAAATATATATATTTAACATTAAAATTTATATCGATCTTTTTGAACATTTTTATAAATGAAACAATGTATAAATGTAATAGTAAAGTTTTTTGAATCAGTATATGTCATATGAATTATGCTGAGGTATGTAGTTTATATTTATATTTAATAATATTACTAATATTATTAATTTTTAATAATTATTTTATTATATATATACTTTATAGTTATTTTATAGTTATTTTATAAAATTTGTTTAATAAATTATTTATGAAATTGTAATTAATATGCATTGCAATTACTTTCAAAAATTTTCAATTTGGATTAATATTATTTTGAATATTAAGATTGTAGTTATTGTATAATCAGTATCATGTTATATAAATTATGCTAAGATAGTTTATGTTTATGTTTAATAATATTATTAATATTATTGATTTTTAATCATTATTTTATTTATCACTATATATATCCTTTATAGTTATTTTATAAAATTTGTTTAATAAATTATGTTTTCTTATTTATGCAATTGTAATTAAAATGTATTGCAATTTATGATTTATGATTTATCAATTTGCACTGCGATTGATTACAATTATCTTTATTCTTAATTTCTTTGCAAAAACTGATTGAGATCGTTATCCTTTTAAAATTGCAGATATTTCTATTTTTAATTGAATATCTTTAATTATCAACATTCAACTTAATTTAATTCTATAGGAAGAAAAAGTAACGATGAAAACGATGAAATGTAATGTTCAAATGTTTTCAAACATGCAGAACAATCGATTTATCAGTATGCAATTTTTAGATTTGTTTAATCTCACGAGATAAATCATTGGATGAGCTGCAAAGAATTTCATAGTTTTAAAATAATTTTGCTTTTGTATTCGAATACTAGAAAAAACTAATGGCTATTTGCAATCTTATGAAAATTTATCTTACGAAAATTTAAATTTAAATAATCGTCTTAATCATTTCATTCATTCATTCTTATAATTGTATTCTGTTTTCAGGAAAGAATATAATTTTTATAGATCAGTGATATTCAATCATATAGCCATAGCTTAACTACGAGGAATGTTGAAACATAAGCTATGAGTAAAGAAATTAACGAAATGAAGATTTTTAAATTTTAGATCCAAGATATTGCACATTATCTATTAAAAATGCTGAGAAAAATTTACAGAAATTAATGGAATAAATGTTACTTGATTTAAAACTATCGTCTATTTGCCAATGTTTTATGTTTTCGCTATTAAAATTAGCGAAATGAATACTTAAAACTTTAGAGATTAAAAGAAATTTAATATTTTCAGTTCAAATATCTATGGAAAAATCTCTAACACTAGTGTTTTTCATACAAACAGAGTGATGAGCAACTGTGTTAAACTAACTGTGCACTGCTCTAAAATTGCTTTACTATAGATCGTACAGGCAATGACAGGATAGAATGGTAAGACAATATAGATATATAAAAAGATAGAGTTATATAATTCATATATGAAAATAATAGAAGAAATTCATAAATCACATTAATTGCATAAATTATTTATTGATATTGATAGTACAATTAAACAAATTATATATTTTGAGCTCGATGATACATTTAGTTTGGTGTGAAATATTCGATGTAAAATTTTATCGAATATATACTCGTGAATAAATAGATACATGAATAATTTAAAAGAAAGACTTGGGATTTTAAATCTATTGTTTAAGATTTTTTTCAAATTATCTTTTAAATATTTGACTTTGAATGAGAATATTTATTTATTTTAATGTAATGTAATAAGAAAGAAAAAAATATGAAAGAATTAACGAGATAATATTGATAATTATTCCGGTGATGAAATCATATTAATTATTTGAATTTTCCTCAGTAATGAAAAAATTAGGAAACAATAAGTAAGTAAATTTCTTTTATAAGCCATTTTAACAATAAATTTATTAAAAACAATTTTAAAATTTAGAATGAATTTGTATAAATAATGAAGAATTGAAAATTTATTGGATAATATAAACTTTTTTTTTATTGATTTTCTGAGAGTCGAGGTTTGATATTGTGAAATTGAAAACATATTGTAAAGCATCACGTTTTCTTTGTATGATGAAATGTTATGTTTTTCGACTTTTTATATTTTCTTTTTTTCTTTTTTAAAATAAAAGTTTAAGAGAAAAGTATAAAAGATTGAATATTCATAATTGTAATATATATAAATATATTCATAAATATGACTATATAATATTACAATAATTAATTCATCTTTTTTTTGCTTATATCAATTATACAATGAAATTGTTTTTTAATTGTGAAATTGAATTTTTTCAGAAATCATGAAAAATTCAATTGTAAATATAAAAGTTATTATCAGATAAAGTTTTATAATATCTATATATAAAATACATATTTCTATGAAGAATAATTTTATAAAGTGTAATACGAGTACTACTATTTGAATGAAAATTTTTTAAATGTTTTTAAAAATCAGATACTCCAAGATTTCTCCTTTTTTACAATCAATATCTGCAGACATGTTGATTTATAAATGTCTTTTTGATCGGTTTCTTATCCAGAAAACGATTTCCAGATCCTTTCATCAAGAATGTTTGACATGAAAGGAAAGGATATCAACATATCCTTTAATTAATTTTCCAGAAAGACAAAAATCAATCCAAGATCAATCAATCGATCAAGAATACTGCGACGAAAACGAATTGAATAAGCAAGAGTGATGAGGAGAACAAATTCAACATCATTCTCAAATAAATCCTAATTTATCAGCAGCGTTTATTTCACATTAACATGTCATTTAAATAAATTAACATGTTATTTAAATGAGATCAGGCAAAATGTAATCAGAACGCTTTCAACAATGTCATTCATCTCGCGAAGTAATCTATATTTTTAATTATGCTGATTATATATGACTGACGAAAAGTGTCTTTTATCGATTCAAATGAATTCTATAAATCATCATAGAACTCCAAACATGGATAGCCAATCATCTTAAAGAAAACTACACGAGACTTAATGAATAATAGAGTCCTTGTCCAAACATCAGAAGCTCATAGGCATGTATCATAGAAAACCTATGGAATTCTGCTTCATGTTTCCATTATCTATACGCATGGAATAACAATGAGATCCTTTAATTTCGTTATAAGTATTTATCCTAGGAAATCGCTAAGGAGTTTGAATTGTAATTTCGCAGGGAGAAGATCCGTGTTATCTCCAAAGGAATGATTCGTTTTGTAATCGAGATGTAGGGAGACAAGTATCTGAAAATTTTTGGCGCACTACGATTACAGATTCGCCCACAAGACTCTTAACGATCGATTCAAATTTTGCGATTTCAATTCAATTTTCGCGATTGTTGATAGATAGTCAAAATAAAATTTAATAATATTAATCGATTCAATAATTGATCGTAATTTATGTAATAGGAATGGATAAATAAGAGAATTGTATTCAATTTCTACATTGTGATGGATTCCTGGGGGTTTATTTACACAATATGCGTTGGAAATCGCTGATTGGACAATATGCTGAAACATTTTCTCCATTTTGGCATGCGATACATGCGAAATCAAATGCAAAATGAATAAAAAATCATTGTAATCAACTCGATATATTATACGAAACCTTGATTAATGATATTGGAATCATTGAATTTGCACTTTGGTGATAATATTCGTGATCATGTTGACATTTATTGCGATAAATAAAAATCGAGAATTGCGTTAAATTTCTAATCTGAAGTTATTTTAACATTAGGATAACTTAGTATATTCTTGTATGAAAGTCATATATTCTTCAGGATAGGACAGAGTTTATATGGAGATTTAATTTTTAGAGAACAATACTTTTTTTTATTATAATTTATTATTTCTTAAGAAATATATGAATAATATAAAAATATAACTGAATATATAAGAAAAATTAATTAATTAATTGCATTTAATTAATGTAGAATAAAAAAGAAAATACGAGTAATAATATAAAAAATATAGCAAAATAAAACATATAACTTAAAATAAAATGGAAAAACATTAATAAACACTTAAATAAAAATAATATTTCAAGATGTCATATCCGTTATAAAATTGAAATTTAAATAAAATTCTTAACAAATTTACAGAATATTTCTCAACTATTGAAATCTAATGATTGATTAGTTATCGATTAGTTCTCTACCTATATACGGCTATTTTGTTTTAACAAAATGTATATATTAATATGTGTATATAAGATATAATAATATAATGTATATAATATAATAATATATATTA